CAACAATGAATGTTCTTTTGTTAAAAACAATTGAAAAATAAAATTCAATTTATACAATCAATCATTAATTTTCATACAATCGATCACTAATTTATTCTTTTTGAGAGTGCCAATGATAAGTTCCATCATGCAGGGCACAGTCGAGGCCTGTGACAAACTGGACCTGTGACAAACTGGCATGCTTCCGATTGTTTGGATCTGGAACATATCTTTTATGACACAGAGTCCTGGATAATATTTTGTTACACTGAGTATCAAATTGCATTACGTTTGTGTGAGTGTGTGTGTGTGTGTGTGGCTCTGAGTGTACGTGCGTGTGTGCGTGTGTGTATGTATGTGTATGTGTTTGTATGTATGTATGTGTGTATGTGTGTGTATGTATGTGTGTGTGCGTGTGTATAATAAATATATATACATATATATATATATATATATATATATATATATATATATATATATATATATATATATGTGTGTGTGTGTGTGTGTGTGTGTGTGTGTGTGTGTGTGTGTGTGTGTGTGTGTAATATATAAAGACAGATTAGCCACATACACAGGAGATTCTTCACACCAGAACTTTGAGATCAATATAGACAAAAAATGAATTACGATATTCAGTATACTGTCTAGTTGTTCAGAACAAGACTGCACTCTTACTTCTATGGCATTTTGCGAGAGATGAGTTCGTTTCTTCCTCTTGCGGCGTACGTCAAATGTAGCAAAAAACGCTGTTCTGAAAGCTATGTGCCTGGTCACTAAGATCACAGGATTGAACAAGCCTTGAACAGGGAGAATAAAAGAAATCAAGTACGGTGAATCATACACAAAAGTTAAAAAACCAAACTAAGTTAACACAAAAAGAAAACACACAGACATACAAATAGCAGGTCTAGTGCTTGCACTTGCTGCCTGTCTAAAACATAAAAGTGAATGCACGCGGTCTAGAAGCATCATTGTGATAAAGAAAATAAAAGTCGCAACTTGCATAAAAGCTTAAGAAACAAAATGCTTAAGCAGATTTGTAAGAAAATGACTAAATAATTACGTGAACAATACACACATTAATAGGTAAACAAACGAATTTTAAATAAAAGAGTGGTTGAAAAAGTGACCATAGTAATATGTCGATTTACACAGATTGGATTACACTTCAAGTAAGAGACATGAATTAAAAAGAAATCGATAAATGAATACAAAAATAATGCAGACAAGAAATGCGAAAATTAATATGATTATTGTAACATGCGTGTGCCATAGACTTGGAGGTGTACATTTTTGTCTGTGGAACGGTTTGCTTTAAATGACACAGAGTCCACTATCTTTCTTTTATTTTGATCCTAAATACTTCGCTTGTCTGTTTAGTTTTTCTGTGACGATTAATTGAAGTCATAGCAGAACGCGTGCACACTGTGTGCGTTTTGAATTTAATAATAATAATAATAGATAGCATTTGTATAGCGCATATCCCCGCTCAACAGCAGGCTCTATGCGCTTTACACTATATTATTACCCCAGCAGACCATAGAACACTCCGAAACATTCTCAGCTTCCCGGGAAGCATACAGTGCAAGCAGCTGATTAAGCGCTCAAACACTAACAAACTGACAAGATCTTTCGCTGTCTATAGCCGGGTACCCATTCCCACCTGGGTGAAGTGAGGAAAATTCGTGTAAAGTGCCTTTCCCAATGACACAACGTCGGGTCCCTGACGGGATTCGAACCCACCACCTCACGGTTGCGAGTCCGAGAGCCTAACCACTAGGCCACCGACGCCACGAACATTTAGTCTCCTCTATTTTAATACGCGTAAGAAATTACAAGCTGTATAAATAAAATGTTTCTTTCGGGATCCTTGCAAAAAATGTAACTATAGTTGAAGTTTTACGCCCTCACCGAAACTACTCGTTTCTAGATCATTATAGAGGCAGGCTATTTCAAACCGGTTGTCAGGGTCAATAGAGACTGAGAGCGATACATTGTCCAGAGACGGAGACAGTCGAGGAACATTTTCCCCAAATGGGAATCAAAATCCCATTCTCCCCCCTCCCACTTAATCCCCACAATCCCCCCCAACCCCCCCCCCCTCCCCCGTAACCCCGTAATCGCAAAAACAGATACACAGTCTAGATCATTGCGATTACGGCTGGAAATTACAAAGTGCACTAGTTCTAATTAGCTGTATTTCTAAACGACCTCCAAAAACAGTATTAGTACATCAAATAATGATACTGGTCATTAGACTCATTATCCCTGGAATGCAAGTAACTGAAACACGATTAAATCAGAATTTAAAAAATAATAATATGGCTGATATTTTAAAATATTTCAATTTAAGAAGAGTATAACCACGATAGCTAAGCGTTGAATTTAATTCCCGTCCATACTTTTAACTGTCTTCCTAATAATCTAATAATCTCGTTCTAAACTTTCCCTTTCAAAAAGCAGTAGCTAACAATTATTAGTAGCTAACAATTATTATTAATTTGTCGGCATTGTTTAACGGCGGGAAAATTATTTTCATAGACGATTGTCTCCTCATATCTATTCCAGGCCAAAGATTGTAAATTTAAAGTGCGTGTCCTCAATTTCAACTGCACAACGAAATTCCAAGTAGCAGCAGGTGGCAGCGATTATGATTATGTTATAGTGTACCACCGAGTGACAATTCTACCCTTTGACGATTAAAAGGAAGGATATTATAACAAGAACATGCTTATAAGTCAGATGTAATGAAACTAAATGTCATTGGCAGTACCGATTGTGACGTTAATTATGGTGTGGAGATTGCTGAAGCCGGATTTTTTAAATGGAATTAGATAGACATGTACGCGTTACCCCAATGTCGTATATTTGGATTCGTGTAATCAGAATCATTATTTGGTTTGTCAGTCTGTCAGCAAGCCACATGAGAAAAATTGTTGATGGAAGTGGTATACTAGACACAATGGAAGCTCTGGCAAGCGACTGGGGCTCCGACACACTAAAATATAGGATAGATTGAGTCAACATGTTATAACCTTCATCTAACTTGCCACACAAAGTAAAGTGGCCGTTGACTGACGGAAAGATAAACGTTGTTACACACTGAAGTATTTACTCGATCGATTCAATCGGATTATGAATAAAGTCAGGAAAACAAACCATTAGTCACTTCCTTCGGGTAAAAACTAGGAGTGCAGCAGTAAGACTAGAATAATAACTGCCGTCATGGGTTTTTCCTAGAATCAAATGTAACTAGGATAGTTTTCTGCTACTGTTTGTGCGAATTATAAAATTTCCTTTCCTTCTAAGCGTTTGGCTTCTTTGCTTTTATTTGAAAAAAATAAAGTTATATCTCCTCCATAAATAAATTATAGAAGGTGCATTTTTGCGGGCTGCAATCTTTATGGGTAAATGGATATACTCGTATTATTGTAAAACGTTGTGTAGTATGGTTCTATGTCTAGGTTTGTATTAATACAGAGGCAAGAATATTCCCTGCCCTTTTTTATATTTTCTAGGCGAAAGACGGACTCACAGGAGGATGACCAAGCCACCCAAGTTGGACCTTAATTTCATAGGCACGTAACAATGTTTACTTGTATTCCCCGCCCCTGTATATACATTAAACGTTCCCTACGCAATTATTTGCAATTTCGCTTCGGCATTGGCAAGCATTTTGTGCATTTGGAGTGTGGGTCTTGTGGGAATTTAAATGATGTGTGATGCAGATTGGCACAAACATAAAAGGCATTAAAAGAACGTTTGCACACATCTGAATTATATGAAATAATGTCTTATAAAATTTGACATTACAATGCAATGCATTCTAAAAAAAAATGTGATTATGCAGCACACTAACAAAAAAGACTGGTGAAATAATGGTGGTAAATGAAAGGGGAGAAAAGGATTAAGAAACAAGAAAAGCGGAGGGTGACTTATACGCTGTCAAGCAACTAAGGAGTTTGGATAAGTAAACCGGGGAGTGAAGATGCAGTTCCTCTACAACAAAAGGCGTGAAGATCAGATAATATGCTTCTGCGTGACGTGTTTTATAAATGTTTTCTTTCTGCTGGGCAAATATAATAATTCGCTATGTGGTTCTGTGAAAGCGGTAATTCGGAATACACTACGAGTTGATTTTATTTCATTCATTTTCTTTTTCGTTTTTGGTGTAGGCTATTCCCGAAGAAGGTAATTTCCCAATTGTGTAAATATAAAGATTCTGATAGAATTAGTATTCCAGCGTAACATTCTTAACTCTATACTGCAACACGTGTGAATAAAATGAAAGTTTTATGTTTTATTTATCTCCTGAAACTTTATCTTTTGATTGATTTAGACGTTTAAGGAATAACACTGATGTTTTATATACGGACTTGACTTTCAAGTAAGAGTAATGAAGAAATGTGTGTGTGTACGAGTGTGTGTTTGTGTATGTGTGTGTTTGTGTGTGTGTGTTTATGTGTGTGTGTGTGTGTGCGTGTGTGTGTGTGTGTGTTTATGTGTGTGTGTGTGTTTTTATGTGTATGTATGTGAAGCAAGGGTGTATTACTGGACGGCTAGCGTGAGCCACGTTTTTTTAAAAATATGAAAACATATATCTTATATTTGTACTAAGCAATATAAATGGCAAGACAGTATCCAATCGGCCAGCTGCTGGTCCCCCAACCCCTATGTATACCTACAGAATGCAAATATTATTCCAAATGATATAGGACAACCGGCCCCATTTACCGATTATCGAATACAGCTCAGATCAAATTGAAATCCTCCAGACAAGGGACTGGATTAGTTATATGGGTAATAAAAGTCTGCAATCGTCCTTGATAATTATTCATTTTTTAAAATGAAATAAAAAGCTTAACCTGCGCCAGAATGCGAAGTTTTCGAATAGAGGAGCAGCAGGTGTTGAAGTGGTGTGTGTGTGGACTAGAGTTGGTGGAAGGATGTCATGACGAGGATGAAATCACAGATGACCAATTGATGTAACTTTCCCGATAACAGGTTTTCCATTTTACCTTGGCACTTGGCAATTACAGGGGGGATGGTGGCGAGAAAGACTGGAATGGTATCCCCTCCAAGGAAGGCAGCGACGAAAGAAACGATGGTATACGGCAACCAGCACACCCAAAAGGCAACTGTGGACCGAAAAAAAACCTACATTTTAAGAGCAAATGTTGATATCTTGCTTTGTGTATGTTGCAGAAATAAAACGCAAAGAGGCAGAAATAGTTTAACTGTAACTTGTTTATTTAGAGAACTTGAAAAAGTGGGTGAGAGGAAAAGACCAGGATAAAATGTACACATGGTGAATCACCCAACCAATGTTCCAGGATGTGGACCATAAAAACTTATCTTATCTCATCTTATCTTATTTTATCTTATCTTGTCTTGTTTGATCTTATCTTAGAGTATTCAAATAGAGACTTGAGTTGCAAACTGTAATCGCCGTGAGTGTCTGTTTCCGATCTAGTATGAAAAATAAGACCAAAAAGTGCTTTTCACGCAAGACTTTCACACCTAGGTCGCAAACTGTCGTCGCCGCCGCTCTTCAATCTCTTTACAATATCTTAAATTTATTACAAAGCGTTCGCTTGATGGGCCGCATCCTACAGTCAAAAGTAAGGCAAAACACCAAGACCTGTCTCGCGAAAGTCGAGTTCATCCAGCATCTTCTCTCCGTGCTCTCCTCTTGGCTCCAACAGTGCACCATGGTGGACCGAAAAATGCACCAGAGTGCACAGTCTAGGATATTATAATACAGGTCAATAATTGTTACCTTATTTAGAAAGCCGGAAGTGTGACTGCTTTTTCGGGAGGTAGAGATATCATTTCAGAAAGAGCGAGAACATTTGCGATTCAGTCCACACAGCACCGGAACTTTAGCACTTCAGTGGAGCCAGACAACCATTAATTTCAACACACACCGTTACCGTTGCAGAAATTATATATAGAGAGAGAGCCATTTTCAGAAGCTATGGTGGTTTTTAATTCTTTTTTTTTTTGGAAGCCTTGTAACTCTGAAGCGCCTATCGAAGATGGAAATTACATTCAGAGACAAGGGCTCTTAAAAAAACAAACAACGAATAATATTCGTAAATGAGCTACACCGATTCAGCAGAATGGACGTATCATTCAGTTTACCCCTGCGGTCAATCGTTATTACTAGTTAAGGACTCCAAGACAAAAACGCCTAAAAGAGGAAATTGGAAAATGGAAAATGAAGAACTTATTCCTGACACGTATCTGAAACGCAATTTAAGCAAAACTATAAATAAATATCATATAGGGGCATGGTGGGGGTTTCTGAGATTGAAAAAAGTTCATGTTCTTATAATAAGATCTTGGAGTGGACGGGGTTTTCTAAAAATGCTCAGATTTGGCGTATGTTGCTTTTCGCACTGTAACCGTTCAAATGTTGTTTAGAGAATGATTTTCCTTGTGCACCAGTTTATTTATGGAAAAGGGCAAAAAAGATATCAAACGTCAAAGGGGAATACCAAATAAAGTGAAAGACAAGATAAACGGTTCAATGAAATAACATTATAAAACTTCTTTCGTCACGATGTGCATAGTATTAATAAACGTGAATGGCATTTTCAATACGCAATATTATATGCAGATGGACTCTGTAATGATGACATTTAGGGCTACAAAAAATAAATAGATACGTCACATTGAGTGAATCTTCAGCATTCTATCTATTGTTCAGAGCAGTTTATCTGCCCTAAGGTACTCACGGACGATGAGACAGGCTGTCTTCATCATTTTCCTCTCTATGGCCAGATTCCTCCTCGCTACACGGCTGTCCATATCCCACACAGAGGACTTGTTGAGCGACCGGAGCTAGACAGGAGAAACAAAACAACACGTTGCTATGACTACCATACTGTCATGAAAATACTGCCTCTTTATGGATCCTCTGACATTTCTCAGTACAATGTGTGAAGATAATTTTAGCGTCCAAGCAAAATTGTGATAATCTGTTATCGTTGAAAGATATGAGCAAACAGCATTCACCCCCCCCCCCCCCCCCTTTCAAAGAAAGAATAAATAAGTACAAGAACAACAACAAAAACCAAAAGAAAGAAAAATAATTTTCCCCGATTCAAGACAAGGTCAAAGCCTGAGACTTACAGTGCTACGAGAGCTGAAGACATTAAAACGGAATTTGACGCTGTCGCGCCCCCCCCCCCCCCCCCGCCCGCCCCTCTCCTCGTTTTCCGAAAGATGAGTTTCGGTGTCTGGTAATTTTCTCGCTGGTAAACAGGGCCCTCCTTTGTCAGATCAGCAGAAAAGAGAGCAGGACACTGGATACGTTGAGTAATAATATGTGCCAAATTGTTTAGGTTTAACGCTTCTCGCAACACTGCAACCTTTGTATAGAGGAGGGACAGGGACATCTTGATTTAACGTCCATTTCGATAGGATCGGGGCAATTGGGAAAGACCGTGTAAAATGTTTTCACAAGGAAAAAAAACGTCTGACGGAGCTGAGACTCAAACCCCCAAACCCGTCTTCTCGCAATTATCAATCCAGTAGGCTAACAACAACAATAATAATAACAATAATAATAATAATAATAATAATAATAATAATAATAATAATAATAATGATAATAATAAATAGCCTTTGTATAGCGCATATCTCCGCCCAACAGCAGGCTCTATGCGCTTTATACTATATTATTACCCCAGCAGACCATAGAACACTCCGAAACATTCTCAGCTTCCCAGGAAGCAGACAGTGCAAGCAGCTGATTAAGCGCTCAAACACTAACAGACTGACCTGATCTTTCGCTGTCTATAGCCGGGTACCCATTCCCACCTGGGTGAGTGAGGAACATTCGTGCAAACTGCCTTTCCCAAGGACAACAACATCGGGCCCCTGACGGGATTCGAACCTGCCACCTTACAGTAGCGAGTCCGAGAGCCTAACCACTAGGCCACTGACGCCACACCCAGCGCCATTTATGTAAGTACGTAGAAATCATTAATCCTTGCGTCACAGACATAGTTCCAAGACAGTGAAACTCTCTGCCTGAGCCTCTTAGTGTATTGGTTAATAATCTACAGTATCCACGAAAGTCTACTTTGATCCCTCCTGACCTTATTCGCCAACAACACACAACTCTGGGGTCTCCGCTCTTGTGAGGCCACATATGGGACTCCGTGACGTCAGTAGCAAAAACATGTTTTTTACTATTTCAAGAATTGGAGGGGAGAGCTCAAGAACATTAATTTTTATTTTATAGTTGAACAACGATTTATAAGGTGTAAAAAGTTGCAGCAAGAAGATACATTATTTTAAAACAAAAGCCCTTGGCATCCATCGAACAGTGTACATAAGACAACACAATAAAGCCATTATTTTCCTATCAATACGCAAAACAAATATACAAACAAATTAGTTTTTTTTTAAAATTAAATATACTTAAAGCCGTAAAGTCTTTCCATTTCTTAACTTGTGGGCACATGTCTAAAACTTGGCTAAAACTGGCGAAATATAGAATAGGTAGTATTCGTTGTACTGGTCTACGATACTGACAACGTTCTTTTTTCTGTTTTATTTGAACATGGTGGCTGTAACTCACAAAAGGAGTTTATGGAAAAAAGGAAACTCGTGACTTTTCACAGACCCTGCCCCCCCCCCCCACTTGTTTCCTATCCAAACATTGCTGTGAGTTATATTTTTTCACAATACAATTTCAAATTTACAAAGAAGTCAAATCAAGATAATAATATTATGTACAAGGGATTTTTTAACGTGCTTTTGACGTTAATGCTTAGAATTTATCCTGAGAGTGGTTCCAATCAAAGATGTCTGGTACATCGGCCAGTGGTTCAGAGTCCACGAAGGTCACAATATAATAGCGTTTGTGATTCTTAGGCCGCGTTGTTTACAGTCCTTGATCCCCAAGAGACAGTGCCCATCAATACCAGATCGTTACCTCAGAATTAGAAAGTTCTATCTGCTTCATAACTAGTTTTGAGAAAGTTTTTGAGTTTCACATCCTACAAACCTTTACCGAACTCAATTCATTGAATTTATTGATAACGACTCAGAATAATTTTACGATTTAGATTGAACATTTGGTTCTGACCTCATGGTCTTAGTAACTCAAAACAACCAATGTCAGATAGAACTTTGTAATTCTGAGTTAGCGAGATTTCTCCGGTCCGGGCTCGCGTCATCAGCAGTTGTGATCCAGAGTTAGCTGCGTTAATGGTGTTCCAAGGACTATCCCGTTCCTAATTCATGCCACTGTCCTCGTCCATTTTCACGAAATACCCGGTTAAACCACAGACATTAAAAAAGGAACAGAGCAGAGGAGACAGGATTTAGTGTCTCTTTGTAAGGTATTAGCTGCTTTTTCTACGTTAGTAGGTTTTTTTAAGAGACGATGGAACCAATTCCTCAAACTAATGCGCCTACTACTACTACTACTACTACTACTACTACTACTACTTACTACTACTACTACTACTACTACTACTACTACTACTACTACTACTACTACTACAACTACCAATGCCAGTGCATAATTTGGAATTAAAAATACAATTCATTACTGAATGGTACTCAAGTGTGATAAACGTTCATTTTCCTGCTGATGCAATTACCTGTTTTTGCAGTCTACTTAAATTAATAACACATCGAAATAATTTTCTACAGGACACGTGTACGGCTGGCGCTGTTGGAAATTACACTCACAGTCACAGCTTATTGATCAGTATTCCAGCAAACCAACACCTTTACCTTTATCGCATTACGCTTGCTAATTCATTTCATATTCTGTGTAACGTGTGAGCAATGCTAGGAACATCCTACATCGATGGTTGGTGTAAAATATTGACCCTCCGGCCCTTAAGGCTTGTCTTCTTTTTCTACCAATTCTGCTATTTGATCCATTTGATTCAGTCGGGCCCAGCCAAAATTAGCTTCATTAAGTGGCAAACCTACTTTTTTTTGCACAATTCGACAGAATCCAACTAATTTTGATGACAACTTTCAAAATCAAACGTGTTTCGTTTTCAGTCTGCAGTCGAATTAGTCATAGCCATAGGACGGGACCAGCTACTCTACAAGGCCTGTAGCTTATAATAAGCCACACGGTCAAGGTTATATTATATTATTTTTAGCAAGGGGAGAGCGATTTTAATGGACATAGTTGGTTTTGAGGTTCTGAGAGTAAGATATTGAAATGGGCTATGTTTCTGGGATTCAAAAACCTCTCAACGAAGCAACAGCGATAGGCACATTACGAAGCAGTCGGCGCTCGAAACTATCATTGAAGGAAAAGGCCGCGTTGTAAAGGGTATTATTTCGCCACCCTAGAAGTACAAAGTTCTATCCGCTCAGTACATAACTTTGATCAATTTGGCATTAAACATTTTGATTTTCATAACATGTCAAACTTTCTTGAGCGTTATTATTTGAATATCTTGAAAACGACTCTATGTAATCTTCTGATTTTGATGGAGCACAGAGAACATTTGGTTTCTGACCGCCTGGTTTCAGTAACTCAAAATGACCCCCCAAAAATTACAGAGCATTGTTGTTTTAAGGTAGCAACTTGTGCACAAGAAAATCGGGGTCCGGTTAAAATTCTTAACTATTGGATCAATTCTGATACAAACACGGAGGGGATAGTGTGAACTTAGGCCGCCATTAATTGACCCATACTCACCCAATCTGATCCTACCTATGGGCACCCAGTACGTTATGTAAAATATCCGGCCTTGATTCGAACTATAAAGTTGGCCAATATACGATTTCTTTGTCTGATCACAAGCGTTGTCCGGATATTTATTGTTTTATGCGTAAGTACGAAAGCTCTTTGTACCAAGACTGCTCCTGCCTTCCAGCTGTGATGGACACACACATACACACATACATACATACATACATACATACATACAT